TTTCCCATTCTTAGAGTAAAATGCCACCACCATACCTCTGTGTGGGACTGCTGAAAGGCTGAGCCGGTGCCTCCTGACAACGTGTGGGCCAGTTACACTAACCGTAGTGTTAGTGTAGCAGAATTCCACTAAACTTTAGCGTAGCGTAGTGGAATTCCGCCACATCTTGCACTAACACTACGCGCATAGGCCCCAAAAAAAGGCCCACTACGCTACGCTAACATGCTGGTAGGCGGTTTTTTTGCCCTGTAGCGCAGTGTAGCGTAGTAAAAATTTGCTAAAAATCTGCTAACACTACATATTTTTGGCGTAAAAAAAGTGCCGCTGCGCTACGCTTTTTGGGCAAAAAGTGTAGTGTAGTGTAGCGGCCCACCGCTGCTCCTGAATAATAAATCATCAGGGTGGGTGTAAGCTGGGTACTTGGTCCAGGTACCCGCCTGTTTTATTCACCTAAAATGTCAACACCTGCACCCACACCCAGAACCTGTTTCTGTTTACCTGATGACATCTCTAAAGGACTCATTCTTGGATTTATCTCCACTGTGATGTTCAAGTCTAGATGTTAATTCTATATTGAATCAAAGCCATCATTTTAATTGCCACTGCCCAAATCAAAATTTCATTCTACAAGTGTCAGGATATACGGGGCCAAATAACATGAAGCATTGACATTGGCCCACCATGGCTAAAACATGACCCCTTTGTAGAGTCTGGTTTGTAGGAGGGTTGCTTTCTCAGACTAATGAGTTGATGAGAAAGTGGTATATGGGCTATGTTACTTGAGCTTTGAATACCCTAGATAACCTCAACCTAGCTGAAAAATATATATCAACCAACAGATCATATTTATTTTATTAAATTGCTTGAACTTTGCTATATTATACTGTTACAATCTTCATGTTATAATTTGTGTGTCTGATTTATGAAATTATGAACTTATTTTCAGCCTTGAATCAACACTGGGCCGCTACACTATGCTACGCTAAAGGGCCATTAAGCGTTAGCGTAGCTGCCGTGGCAGCAGCCTTTTTTTGAGTAGTGTTAGTGTGGGCTACCACCCACTACGCTACGCTAAATTTAGCGCGCTAACAACACACCTTTCTTTGGGTAGTGTTAGCGTGCCACTACTGCCACTACGCTGCATTACGCTACGCTACAGCGCTGTTAGCGGCAAAAAAGGCCAAAAAACCGCTAAACAGCACTGTAGCTTAGCGTAGTGGACACTTTTTTGCGCCCCATGAGCGTAATGTTAGTGTGGATGAGTGAAATCAAGCTAACACCCTTTGGAACCCTGCATGCGTTGTTTAGTGCAAATTTGCAGATTTGTGCTAACACTACACTAAATGTTAGCTTATTTTAGCTACACTAACACTACAATTAGTGTAGCTGGCCCACGGTTGCTTGAATTAAGCTCAGAATTTTCACTCAGGGATATTCATTACAAAAACAATTCAATCACATGTTAAAATGCATGTTCAAATTCCATGCTTCATGCAACATTGGAGGACTGACCACCAGATCTGGGACCCTCACAGAAGTAGATCTAGACTTGAAAAATCTTGATTCTCACAGATAAATTTGATTTTTGAGGCTCTAAATTGGCTCTGTGAGACCCACAGATATTTACAGGAATTTGTCCATTACCACATGGTGTTGAAATCCTCGTGATCCATCTGTAAAATCTCATCTCTTCCAGAACTCCGCAGCATAACCTAAATCATCATCACCTCAAACCTAACTCTGACTCATTGTGAAAACCTAACTCAAGACACCATCACTCTATTGACCATTTGTTCTTCATCCACTCACTCTCACTCTGCCAGTCCTCCATTCCTGTTTGTCCCTCCTCAAGTCCCTCCTTCTTCAACCTACACATAAATGTATCCACCTATCCTCTTCCTGTCCTCCTACTCTTGACTCAAATCTCCGTTGACTTACCTCTCTTAACTCTACATCATCTTCTCAGTCAATCTTCAACACTACACTCTCTGGCTCTGTCTCCCTCATCTTCATCTATTGGATCACTTCAGTATCCACTTTGGTGAGAAAATAACATCAACAAATTACCTTGACCGTCAACCTCAACCAACACCTTTTCTTTTTACATCTTTAGTCTTGTGTATCATGCTCTCCTCTGCTTGGTCTTCATCTATTCAGTTGTTCTCTCTTAAGATCATTCTTATGTTGTGGAAAATCATTTCTCTGTTTCATTTCAATATTTCTTTTTTCTTGTTCTTCAATCTGCTTTTGGTTTTTAGTAATAAAACTCTCAAGTTTTCTCACATGGTGCACACAAAATGTGCATTTGATCATATACTTCACAGTTTTGGACACAAGGGATTTGACAAAATTGTAAAAATGGTCAGTTACATCACACACTGCCAGGTGATGTAACTGCAAATTTTCAAATTGTAATCAAAACCTTTTCACAGTGTTTTAAGGGTTTTTTAACTCAAAAACATCTATGGGTTACTAAACTCAGGTATGGAATTTAAAAGAAATCCTGGATAAATTACAAACTTGAACCAATTCAAATTAGAAACTAAGCTTGGGATCCTGTGCTTGCTAAAACTGAGCTGTAACTCAAAATTCTTACTCATCAATTGTTATTATGAAACCTACTATTTACTTATGTTCAACCAATTTTTACTTTTATTGAGAAGAAATATTGGTGCAGGGTCTGGCAGATTGTAGTCTGTGCATTGATCAAAGTATAAGCTAGCTCTCCATCCTTGTCACATGCTTTCTTTATGCAGTAAGTGTGCTGCATTGATTCTTTGGGAGATGAAGATGGGTGAGAAGAAATTTTGAAAGTTTTGAGAATAAGGAATGAGTCTTAGATATAAAAAATCTTTGCTTCTTAAGTGCAAAATTTTGGCCATACTTAAGTCTCATGGTGTTTTGGTCTCACCAAATTTTGTTTGTCCTCTAGTGACCTATTGTCTCATTTTACCTGCTAAGCTTCAAGTATTGTCTCATGTGTACATGGAACAGTGATTTTTACTTTCTTGTATATATGTTGCAATACCTTTCTGTTTTCACTATTGCAGTTGGGAAACTCTGACACCTGACAGGCTTGCGGAAAGTAAAGTCCTAAAAATTTTTGACATGTTCTGGATAGTTTTGGCTATGGGACTGCTTCCATGCAACAACCAAAGATGATCAGGGTCTTGGCACAGATAAATTTTTGAAGTTCAAACAAGAATTTGCTTCAGAATTACATTATTACAGGAAGAGTTACTGGTGAAAAAAAGTGTGTTTTAGGAATCAAAAAGGAGAGACAGACTTGAATGATATTGCGGTTTTTTGAAATTTCTTTAACAACTTGTTCCACATCAACTTGTTACTTATGTAACAAGGAGGCTAAGGGCCAGTACCATGGGATATAACTTTGAAAAATGGGCATTTTTTCTACCTTCTACATAAAATTTGACACAAAGTGGAGAGATCTAAAATTGTGAGTCTTCACTTTTATGCTCATGACTGGCTTCTGGTTCTGTTGAATTCTGAAGAAATGATAATTTGAGTAAGATAAATGCTGAAAAATTGAATTTTTGTGCACTGGCCCTAAGAAGCAAAATCTCAATAAATGGCACCCAATGAGCGTGGGTGTTGGTTGTATTTATTGGTGCAAATTTCAAGAGCTTTCCTGATCTTTGCAGAAGTGAAATGATTTTTTTTTTCAAATAAACACGAATGGGCATCACGAATCACGATGAAATACGAAATTTCCAAACGGCCTGATTTAGCTCCTCAAGAGCTATGAAATTATTAATTCAAGAATGGATTCGATCTTCTTCCGGACAACATTAAACACCCGTATGATTCCTGCAGAATGTATCACAAACAAAAAACAACTTAAGCGAAGAGAACAAACGCCATTGCTGCGCCCGAGACTTCGAACAAATAATGGCTAAAGCCTGAAGCGCTTGATGGAGCAGGCATATGTTTCTATGTAGTAAAAGGTGAAGGAAATGTCAGGCTCAAGAAAAAGAAAAAGGGGGGGGGATTCCTTCCAACAGTTACAGATGACTCCAAAAATCGACTTACGTTGGGGGTAGAGCCTGTGGTACTATTTCCGCCCATTCCTGCTCCGCTCATTCCTGCTGGACTGGCATAAGACTCGGTGCCCATGCCAGAGGAGCCCATTTCGCTTGCGCCTGGCATGGTATTTGTGTGGTTCTTCTGCGAAGAATACTGTTAATGATGATGCAAACGTTAGTCAGTCACTGTAAGAAGAATTATTCCACACATTTGATAGACTTACATCCATTCCTCCGGCCATTGGGCGACTAGTTGCTGAGTTTGGACTAGGTGACATGCTGGGGGCAGGTTTCGTGCTGCCGGGCATGGCAGGGGAACCGGCATCCATGCTCATACTTGATTGACCTTTAGGATGAGGTGCGGCTGAAGCTCCATTGGGCGCTGAAGCGTATGGTCCCATGCTGCTGTTCCCTCCGGCAGGTGATGCTGAAGTTTTCGGAGTGGGATTTCCCATTCCGCTTCCCATGTTGCCCATACCATTTCCACCCATGGCTCCCGAGTCCATGCTTCCCGGAGCCGATCCCATGCCTGAGGCTGAAGCACCCATGCCTTGTGAGCTCTGTGATCAATTGGAAATCGTGTTAGCATCAAGAACATGAGACCGAAAGTTGAAATTTGAAGATAAATTGACTGACCAAGCTCGGATTGGAGGCCACGTTGCTTGGGGTTTGAGGGAGAGGGTTTGACATGGTCAAGTAGGCGATTGCTGCAACAACAGTGCAAGATGTGATGACAGAGGTGGAAGGCATTATGTGGTTCGACTTGATTAAAAGCGCACGGCGCGATTCTTTCGGTATCGGGAGGAAAAGTTGAGTGGGAAGGAGAAAGAAAATAGAACTTGTGAAAATTAAATGTAAAGATTGGGTTAAAATATGTTAAATAACGAAATAAGTATTGAAGGTACACAATTAATTATGAGATTCAGAATAATAATAAGTTGAAAAGAAAAACTGCTTCTTTGGAGTTTGATTGGATTGTTGAATGATCGTTTTTAGAGCACATGATAGTGACACTTTATATTCCTTACCTTCCTCTGGTAATAATCATCTTATAAGGAGACTTCCAGTTGCACAACTCTAGACCAGGCGAGCGAAACAGAAGCAGTAACGACAACCTCGGCAACCACGTTGGTTTGATAATTACTCCGAGACTTGTCGGGCCAATCCACCATTTCCTGAGCTGTCGGCGCGAGCCTGGTCAAGTGCTAAAAGTACAACCGGGCGAACGGTGTCGTCTAGCTAGAAGCAATCGGACCAAGCTGAGGTGGTTAATCCGAGTACTCAATTTCTAGTCGCTCACCGCAAACGAACTATGTACACGCCGACGCGGGCGAAAACAAAGCTTGCCGTGTCAAGTCGGAAGTCGGACTGACCCTCAGCGCAATCATTCATCGGCTCTAGCCTCTAGCTGTGTATCCACAACAACGAAGAGTTGGTCACACAGCTCAACCCAAGCGCCCGTCATACGCTTTTTTGCTTCTATGCACTTTTCACTCGCGTTCTGTTTTTTTTTAAACAATTCTATCAAAGGAGTCTGACTTCCACCGACCAGAACAAGATTTCGCGTGAGGACAGATTGGGATCGAAAAACAGGCCGGTTCGTGTGATTCGAGAAGTGGGGTTTGGCAGGCTCATAGAGGAGAAAGAGTTGAAGGACCAAACACAACAAGTCTAGACACCACTCTCTGGCTCGATCGCCCCCAGGCTCGTCTCATCGAGATATGGATGCTGCTGTATCTCGTTTAAAAGAATGATTGGTCAGATATTACATCTTTCAAATCGCTTCTACTTGAATGTTTCGAAGCACTGGTGCTGGTGAATTGATAGGGAAAAAAGCAGCAGGTGCAGTTCACGTCTTTGCTCCGGCGGAGCCCGCCGCAGACCGGACAAAAATCGCCAAGGCCTTAATCAGTGGCCATGTCAAGAAATGTGTGGCTTGTGTTTGATGGTGTAGATCGAGCTCTCACAAGCAGCATTCACATCAACCAACATTTGAGAAATTCAGGTGGGAGATTGCACTGCCACTTTGATGGCTGATATTTGCAAACAACGATCGTCCAATGCCGCGAAGAGGTGGCGTTTTGTTTTTGCTTGGTGTCGCGCCTCGAAGCCGTCGGGGGACTTCAGTTTTTAAGCTCGGGTTATCTGAAAACATCTAACTTAACCCAAGTCCCTCGATCAGAGGGCCTGTTGTACCAGGCTGGCGCAAGCGCCCCTCGCGAAGCGAGCCTCTTTCATGAGAGGCTCGCTTCGCGAGTTGCCTCCGGCCCTCTGTCGGGGGGGGGGATTTGTTAAGCTAGCTAAAACATATGCAGACAACGTCCCTTCACGAACTCGCCATTTCCAGGCGCCGAACTATCTGTCGAATCAGGCTTGCGGCCATTAGGCTTGTAATGAAATGAACCCAACTAAGAATACGATGTGGTTGACAATGGCATGCGCGTTCTGCAACACTAACTTTAAACATTCCGACTTTCGAAACCCATTCATGGCTTGATTCTCGATGGGGCAAACCATTGGCCCGCACGTTCGTCCTCGAAGGATGTAATAATGATAGCCTTCCAGCTGGCCCTATATGCAAGTCATCAAGTTCGGGCGCTCCTCATTTGTATATGTATGCCAGTTTTTTATTTTATTTTATTTTATTTTTTGCTCTGAATGGGAGTCGAGGCCGCACCAAAGCCAAGCGAAAAGTTTGCACATTTAAATCATTGTGGAACTGAATGCTATCATAAACGCGTAAACAATCGTATTCTTCAGTACCCAGTGTCTGCCCAGGCCCGGCCGCCCTTCACCCCCCTAGCCAAAATATCTTTACACTGATCGACATGAGAACGGCGAAATTCTCGAAAGCTTCAAGCAAGCCGACTGAAAAACTCGACGAATGCTTGTATAACTTTCTTCCTTAGACGATTGTTAGGGCCTGATCATTGACATGAGGGCTCGCCCCATCCGATTAAGTAGCAGGGCTTTCGAGAAGCGAATTAAGGGAACCTTATCTTTCATTCTCGCCGACCCACAGAGCTACAAAAGCCCAGTGTGGCCCATGTACACACACTAGTCGATGGGGGCGATAAAAGATTAATGTCCAAAGGGTTTTACATCGAGCCTTAGAGCCCATCACCCAAAGTGCTTTTACACTTTCCAGTCCAAGCAAGCTTGATTTCAACAATGATTTGCCTGTATCTTTATTTACTTGAGTATTCACCAAACTGTCTGTCCCCCACCCCCCTCGATGGTTTACCTCGGGATCGAGTGATCGATCGGTGTGGCCGGGCGACTCGGCTGATTCCTCGGAGGAAATCGAATCGCGGGCGTGTTCGAGATCAGACACTACATTACATTATAATCGCCTCCACAAGTTTTTTTTATACTGGCCTCTGGCTTCGTGGGCATCATGTATGCTCGACTAATTATTCCAAATAACAAAAAGATTCTTGAAGTTTGTGGCTATTTACCATGTGCGACTTGCAAACGAGTTCAAAAATTGCAAATCGTTTTCTAAGTCTTGTCAATAAGGAGCCAAGCTTGCAAATCCATTTATCATCTTACGAGTACACTTCAGCCCATGAGTTGATCGCTTTCACAGCGCGCGAAATGTTAATTTCTTTTTTTTCTGGCTGATGAATTAAAACTTCTTTCAAAGTGCTGACTGTTTAGGTATTTCTCTCAGGGTATTAGTAGTGGATTAGAGAAGAAAGATTAAATATGGGAGGACTGATCGCAAGTCCAACGACAGATCAAAGGCGTATGAGAATGCAGATTACCGAGTCTGAAGTCTTGTTGGCTTTTTTTTTTTTCGATCGAATTTAGATATTTACACAGATCATGCTGTTCAGTCTGTCTGGCCTCTGCCAGGCTGGTCTTTGTACCGGTTCCGCACTCAAATCCTTCTGTAGATCCAGCTGGCTGGATGACGTAATGCCCGTTGCGCCATCAATCGAAAGAGAACGTTCAGCTGGACGGACTGGAGGAGGGAGGAAGGAGGAGGAGCCCACCAAAAGAACCATCAAAGGGCGGATTCGTGGGTGTCGTCTATAAAACCCACTGGTCGAATCGTCTGCTGGAGTCAACACATGCCGCTTCGAAAACCACACCCCCAACTCAAGAATCTGATTAGATTATAGTCCTGCAACCTCAACCCTTCCTGGTGAACAACCCCTACCCCACCCATTAAGGCTAAGAAAGAATCGAAGGTTTTTCGAGTTTTGATTGATCGTCGACTGGTATTGAGACAAAGCGCAAATTCCCAATATTCTCCAACCAAACTCATTCTCATTTTTGAAATATCTCATTGTATCTTCTACTCTCTATTATATATCATATGCATCACTCGAGAATGATGGCACGTTTACCTTGGGTGTTAGCGCTTCTTGCCGTATTTCTAAATCACGCTCTTTTAATGGTTCTTTCAAAGCCTGTGCAGGCCGGGCCCAAAGAAACCAGAGCACTTGAACGCCGTTACAGCGGTAAAGGAACTTGGTTTATCCCAGATACCGGCGCATGTGGCGATGTGAACTCCAAGTCGGATTATATTGTGGCAATGAATTATGCCCAAGTAAGTCGAACCAGTAGTTCTTGACGCCGGATCTCTCTCTCTCTGCATTGGATTACTGATTACTGGCGCTGAGCTTTTGATTTCCAGTATAAGAACGGTTCTCCCTGTCATAAGGTTGTGGCCATCAAGAACAACGCCAACAACAAGGTTGTGAAAGCTAAGGTTACTGACGAGGTTAGTAACTCCAGCCTCCCTCGGCCGTCCACTTTGCGCGGCTATTTGTTCTTCTTGGACTGTCCTACTATTCATTCTTCATTGTAAGAGCTCATGTTGAAAACTGTGATGTTCTGTATTCCAGTGCCCCAGCTGCGCGTACGGCTCGTTGGACCTTTCGCCGGCCACCTTTGAAGCATTAGGTAACTTAGACACCGGTGTCATACCTGTGAGTCCACCCTCTTCAGAGCCAGATCAGAAAGAGAAACACATATAGTTAGGTCTAACCTCTCAATTTTCGATAGATTTCTTGGGATTGGGCTTAGAATTGGAAATCGACCAGTCGATACATTACCCCTATCTGTTTCTTGCCTTGCATTCTTTCACTTTTGCTCAGCTGCTTTATTCCAAACACGCTCAATACTCCCAATCCTGGTGATTTGCCATTCATTCGGCATTAACAAGTCAAGTCTTGATATAACCTTCATTACCATCTTTTAACGTGGAGTTAGATTCCATCAAGCTAGTTGAACTAACCTCGATGTTATAACCCATCAGCTTAACTCAAACACGGCAGTTGTATATCCTAGCTCTATGGCACTTGTACTGATATTATCAATCAGCCATTTCCTTCCCAGAAGATAGTATCATCATTAAACGTCTTACATACATACAAGTAACATCGTGAGACTCAGTGAAATTACATATGGTGCAAATAACATGATGCATGGCTCCATTATATTCAGAAAGGCAAGGTTCCATCAGTAAGCTGCTGCTGAAATTCGGCGTAGAATTCCCACTTGAACCCCTCCTGATCACAAAAAAAAAACGTAAGCAAGTGACCTGTTAGGCTCAGAAAGCGTACACGCTGGTCTTTTGGGGTCTACAAGACGCGTTTGCCCTACATACACTGTGATGTCCAGAAGTACGAAATTATAAGCTCAAGAGCTCTCTGTTAGGAAGTGATCACGCCCCAAATTCAATGAGGTCCAGAGGTGACATTTGTCTGGTACTGAAAACCTGGACTTGATCCTCTCTGTCAGAGTGCCTCGGAACAACAGATCTTGTGCTTCCGGTAAGCTGTGTTCTTTTCATTTTTCGAATGAAGCACATCAACAAAAACACTACTGCAATTGTTAAGTGTCCAGATCCAACCAGCTTAGTTGGACCCACGACTGGCGAAACCTAAATAAGACTTTATTTCATAGAATGGTGTTTGTATTCATCCATTTCTGGATTCTAATTCTAATCTATCGTGCTTGTCATTAGCGGAAGAAAATTCAAAAAGCTTTTGATAGAGATCTCAGAGAAGAAAACGCAACGATTGCGAATTGACTGTATTTCGACTTCCATGTGAACTACTAATAATCATCAAGTTCATCAAATTCAGGATAGAAGGAACAGAGCGAGTAAAACAAACCAAGGTGGGAAACAAAAGAACATTGGTCGAATAAGCCAAAAGAAACACATGAGCGGTGAAGATTATGCAGAAACAAATCATGAAAATATAAAACAAAAACTGGTGGTGGTGGGGGGCAATCAAAGGGCGTCTTTCAAGATTTTCAACTCTTCTAATCGACCAACAAATTTGGAGTCATCTGGTCGAAGTGGAGCAGAATCATCGATGTTACCATCATCATCATTCATGGCCGAATCTAGCGGTAATTGTTGTTGATTTGACTGGCTGATCGATTGGATGCGTAAGCCTTTCTCGTTAGCCAGATGAAGTAAACATATGAAACAAAACGATGTGCTGATTTCTTCCATCTTCTCCTGTGGGTACATCGTTCTCAACCCGTTGATCACCTTTGTGAACGTCTTCGTCTTCCTTCTCTTGCTACCCCCATCGCCTTCTGGGTTCTCGACATTTTCTTCTAAAGCATCTTCACTCTCTCCTTGATGATCAGTTGTGTTCTGTTTAAAAAACGCATAAAAAAAATTCAGATGAGTAAGTAACCTGCGTAAAAAGTGTAGATTTTCCAAAGAAATCTTTGACTCAACAGCTTCAGCCTCCATTTCAATGGTGAGTTCTTCGAGTTCTCTCCAGATGTTTTCCTTCAACTTCTTGACATCAACCCGTTTAGCTTTCTTAGCGTAGTTAACGAACTCGGGTCTGGCGCGAACGTTAAGATTTTGAGTGGCAGCAATTAGATCATGCTCGTCCTCTTTAGTCTTCGAAGGATCATTCAACGTCGTGTCATCCGGATCAGTGGAAAGGTTGCCCGTCATTCCGACCGGATTATCAAACTCCTCTTCAAAATCCGGCTGATCATCTGGTTCATCTTGGAAAAACTGAGTCGCAAATGGGATTGCATCGTTGGAATCTAGTTGGCGATTTCAAATGTGCACATTGATTAGCTACTAGGAAAGGATAGATAGCAGATGATTCTTGCATACTTTCTTCCTCTTGATTCGTTTGATCTTGATTGTTTTGTGCTGCTGCTGCCGCAGTGCGGGCCCAGTAGTTTTCGTCAATGTCGGCACCAGGATGATGAGCCACGGATCCTGAAGATTTGACGCGCATATTGAACTGTAATGGATAGATCCACGCGAGTATTCATGTCACCCTATGAAGAGCTATATCAAGTGATAGAAATTGAGCGGAAAACAAACTGTTGTCTTGGGTTTCATGTCAAATCGCAAGAGCTGGGAAGCATTGAAATGCATATCATCCGGCAAACAGTGCTGTTCCAACATCTGCTTGGATCCAATAGCGGTCTTGCTGCCAACGATCTTTTTGATCATTCTCCGCTGTGACTTCGGCTTCGGTGGCTTGTACCCAGGCAAAGTCAAACTCGCAGAACCCGCCTGGAAAATCGACTTACGACTGTTTTCTAAAGGTTTTAAAAAGTCGAATGAAAATGTCGATTTTTCCCGCTTGGTGCGATTGACCGTCGTCGTATTTTCGTCATCTCCTGAGGATCGATTTAGCGCAGACCCAGCAACAGACACAAGGGTACAGAAATGGTTAGAGGAGCCAATTTTTGTGGCAGCTAGATCTGTTTTGTTAATACTACCATCGCGACTCAGACTTACGAGATTTGAAAGCAACAGTCCTCCTCAACTTCCAATGCTCAGGGCCCGCCCAACTTTTCTTCATACTTTTGTCAAAGTAATCAAACATCCCGGTACTCTCTTGACCGAAGATACTCTGTCCTCCTTCTGCCTGTTTCGAATTGTCATCGACCAGTGCCATGAGAAGGTCTCTTTGATTAGGGATCCCACTCGGATTGAAAGCTTCACCCATATCTACCCCCTCATCATCAACATCTTCATGGTCAGGAATTTGAAAGTTATCTTCGCCAAGGTTAGGCGACTCGTTTGAATCGAAGAAGTCGTTACCGGTATCATGCGTATCATGAGTAATAGGGGGCTCATCAGGTTTTTCCATGATGTTGGCTAGCGCGGCAAGACCTTCAAAGGATTGAATCGAGTCCGTGGTAGAGAATTTGAAGTTTGATAGACAGGGACATATAGACCGAGCTTGGAAACCTTCAAATGAATCCAGGAACGCAGCTGTAACAAAGGAGGAGATGAGACAAGTCAATTATGTAGCACTTGAGCCTAAAAAATTCAGGAACCAGGCGCGTCTCGATGACAACATTTCAGTTTGGGAAACATGCCAAGAAGTGTTGCATGTCATCGTGCCGCCGTATTTAGAGTCGCTGATCTGCATCGGAATTTGAGAAATCGCTTCGACTGACGTCGAAAATGATAGTCATTGAACTGTCAACGGACAAATGGCTCATTCTGCGTGTACATGTCAATCCCGCAGAAGAAGATAGGTGGAGGTAGTCGTGCTATTAGCAGGTGATTTACATTTACGTGAGCGCACGATAGACGCACAATATTCCACCAGATCCGCCTTCATCGAAGTCGGCGCATGTCTTTTTGAACAGAGGGTCGACGGTGAATTCAAGTTCAAGTTCTTTGACTTTGATTTTCTCGTTGAATTCGACTAATGAGGTTGAATTGGTAGCCCGGGTTCGAGTTTTCTTGGGCGCTTTCAGTCCTGACTCCTCTCCCACATCCTCATCATCTTCGCCGTCGATCTGGTTGGAAATGTCTATAGGGGTCATAGTTGTTGCTCTTTAGATACATTGGGCCAAATGATCGAATAACTGTCATTCGGGGGAAAAAAGGAAGGGCATTCTCAACTGTTGGCTTCCTCCGCAAGGCCTGATAGTAGCTTCCCAGTCTCAGTTGCCACACTGTCAACTCGGGAAGTCCAGATTTTGACACAACCATCTAGAGTACAAGATGCCTATGATACGACTTGCTTTAACTTCCAAAAACACAATTACTACCTCAAGCTGAGAATAGGAAAAAAAGGAAAATCCGAAAGCCGGTGCTAACTTTTTGAAAATTGATCCCTCCCTCTGCTTCTGGATTCCGTAGCAGTGACATGTCGTGGAAATAATCAATTAGAGCGAATGACCACGTGTTGTTCACATTGATTTTCTGTAAAACAGACCCAAAAGGAAATCACGAGAGTTCGATCAGCATCCGACGTAACTTGAGGAAGCAAGTTTTATTTTTATTTTTTGTACTCACATTGTCAGTGGCCATTTTCATCCATTCGTCATAGTTGTTATTCATGACTTCAGTACTGATCACCAAAGGATTGTCTTGAGTGATTCCGATGCTTTGACGCGCTTTTGCATGGTTCTCTCTTGCTCGTGCGAGTGCGCCTACCCTGCCGTTACCGGGGACTCGGGCAGGTGATGAATGGCCAGAGGGGGGTTGTTCGAAGTTCATACTCTTCCGAACCATACCGAATTTTCCACTGAGTCTCCGCTTGGCGTGTTCGGCTAGAGTTGAATTTTTCTTCTTTTGAACCGAGATACCTTCCTTCTGGTTCCAGTCTGCTGAGTTTTCTGGCTCTCCCCCATCTTCTTCGGATGATGATGGCGATGAGGAGGTTGCGGAGGAAGGGCTGAGCTTATCGCGTCTAGGTGCTTTCTTGGACCGCTGGCGCTTGGGCTCCCTCCCAGTGTCCGACGCAGTAGATGACGATGATGAGGGTGACATGGGGATAGATTCGTTGGCTTTGTCTCCGCCTTCGGTGCGATGTGCTGACCTGGGTCGTTTGATAGCCATGTGGTGGTGAGTGTGTCTATCGGTGTAAGTAGTTTCTCTGAGGTTTATGTTGGTACAACCCCTCTTCAGCTCGGTCGGTACCGTAGCATGCCGGGGGACACCTTCCTCCGGGGCCGCCTCGGGCAATTAGGACTTCTCCCCTTCCACTGTCAAATATGGTACTCAGACCATTGACTGCACAGCGTTGTTGCAAGAGCCAACCAGCGGTATTTACCAGAACTTCATGGAAAGAACTAGTTTCTCTTATGTATTTTCCAGCTGTTTCCTCCCCCACACTCATCCCAAATCAGCAGCTCAACCAGCACACATCTTTTGACCATCCCAAATTGAAGAGGAGAATTTTTTTTGCTCATTCCTGAAACAGGACTTCTTGATTTATTATGCTATTGTTCAGGTATAATATTCCCACATTATTAAATTGAGGGCCTGTACCATAGCTCCTGGACAGATTTGTAATTCCTTTTTTTTTCACAAGCCAAAATTCAATGTTGGGGTTGCTCCAAAAATCCAGAAACCAAGGATGATGCATGAATGGGACACCATTTCTGAGTTGTGAATCAGAGATTGACCTGAAATTTGGCAAAATTGGAAGCTGTTGTACAGGCCCTTATCTTTTTAATTACACAAATGCAATATAAGTATTGTAGACCTAAGTATAACACTAAGGATGCTGTTTGGGTACCTGATACACATTGGCAGGTACCTCCCACACCCATCCAGTGGTGCAAGATAAAAACTCAAACTTCATAGAATTTTACTGGATCAGGAATGGAACTAATATTAATAGGGCAGTTCACATCTAGAATTTTAGCTAGCTGGAAAATCAGCCACCAGCTTCCCATTAAGAAAGGCAGTAAAATTTATGATAAAAGATTTGGGCAAATCAGAACTGAGCCTGCAGATGGAAACAGCATGATCATTAAAATTGGCTGGGATATCCCCATATTTTGACAGAAAATGATAGCAACCAGCAACCAACAAGCAAGATCTTTTTAAATTTTTGGACAAGCTATAAATTTTACAATAAAACATTATCAAGCCAGCATAGCAGCTGATCAGCAGACCAGCTAAAAACCCAAATGTGAACCTTCCTAATAGGTCTATACTAATTGAGCCTGAAAAACCAATAGGATTTTTGCTGTACCTAGTCCACCATTCCTCAGGAGGCACTGGAATTATTTTTGAAGATACTTGAAGAAGATCTTTGAAAAAAAGAAAAAAACTAAATTTCAGGATGATTTGAATATACATCTTTTGGCTGAATCTCACAAATTTAAGCCAAAAGGATTCTATGTCATGGTGGGGAGTGTTTTTTACACCTCAAGCATGAATTTTGAGTTAAGAAGTGAATTCCAGTCTACAGCCATTCAACAGAAAGAATTGAACCAGTAGTTTTCCTCTGAGTGAATCCAAACCATAACCTTCTTCATCATCTCCTCAAGTGTTACAAGACATTCTGTATGTGAAGTTCAGTCATTTCCCCACCTGTTTGTCTCAACAATTGGTGTGTATGTAGTCTCTTCATTGTTCAGTGTGGAAAAGGCTAGGTCAAATATACATTTAGGGTTGCATCCCAATACCTAATTTGTGGCAATAATCTTTCAATCTCAGATTCAAACCTTTCATTGAGCAAGTAAAGACATCTCTGAAAAAAGCTGACGTACAGTGTGAAATCTGTTGACTATCTTGAGATAACAACCTGTGTAAATTATGGTGGCCTGATGCTATGATTATCTTTATAATCTGACTACAAATTAATGAGCTGGATGTGTTGAACTTGAACTGTGAAGAATTTCTGTGAATCCTCTCAGGTGTTTTTGAAACCTTGTGATTTTCCCCGGCGTGCACACGGGACTGCCCGCCATGAGATGATAATTAATGGCAAATAAAATGAAGAGGAGGCATGTTATCTTAACTACAAAATTCCGGCATACATTGGAAAACCAAACACAAGACACAGGACCATGAGCAAATAAAAAAAGTACGCTGGTAGGTATGTACATTCCCCATATATAACGGTTTTTCATACATGACAGGTCAGCTTGGCCATCCAATACACTCAAGGTTTCCTTGCGAGAAGGACAAAAGGGATCATGAAAATTGCAGCGAAGCCGCATCCAATGTAGTGTCGATTTCCTGCTATTTTGATATACGAAAAAACCCCCGTGAACGCTCAATGAAACAATTGAGGATGAGATTCTACATATGTATATATAAAGAGGCATGGATGTGGAGAGGAGAAGAGATAAAGATGATGCTTTAAAGAAAAATAGGTTTAAACAGCAGGTGGGCGAAGAGAATGGCGATTAAATGTTAGAAGGGTATATTTACGATTTACCTCCACAAAAGGGAAGTTCACTGAGAGCTTGCACAGGGAGAAGAATGTTGAGGGGGGTGGTGGGTATCGGGGACGGAAGGAGTCAGAGGGTCGGACAAACAGGCCATTCCCGGAAGCTCGTTCCTTGGCTTTCCGCGGAGTTGTTTAGGCCTAAAGCGGGCAAACGCTCGTCTTCTTGCGGCACTAACTTCGGTACCATCCCGATACCATCTTGAGGAGATCTTGATTGTCAAAAACAAAAACAAAAAAGTAAGTTGAATTTGAAAAGGAGTGATGGATTCTCACGAGAGACAAGACTGAGCGTACATTGACTGCTTTATCTTTCAAAGAGACCCCCGTCCGGTCTGCAAACGCTCTCGAAACGGAGCCTCTAGGGCCATGTCGCTTCATGATATGGGCCATGCAATCGTATCGTTCCCAGTTCATCTCAACTTCGGCCAGCAAGAGCTCTTCTTCCTCCTTGGTCCAGTGTATCCGATTGCAGGACCGAAACTGGTCGGGGTTGTAAGACGTTGGTAATGGCTCCCCGCCCTCCTCCGATCCCTTTCCGCCAAATCCATCTTCCTGAACTTCCTCCGTCTGCGCCGTCACAATCATGTCTTGAAGTGGGATGGCCACTGCTGTGGGACTAACTTGTTGGGCTGCAGCTGCCGCGAGAACAGCCGCTGCTCCCCCACCTGCCCCTGCGCCATGGACATCGACCTGAGTATTTCCTAGATATGAAGTGGGACACGTGGGAAGCTTGGGGGAGCCTGAGGCTTGTTTTGTTGGGTCTGCAGTTTTTCGAGATGTCTGAGCATATTGTGAGTCCGTCTGATTGGGAGATTGTGTTGATGGGAAGAGCTGTAGACTCGGTTGGATGGTTTGTAGCAATGGGTGAATGTTACGCTCGGTAATCAAATTGGAAGATGGATTCTCATACAAGAACATTGATTTGACTTGAGCAGTTTCTGTGACTTGCTTGGTCGAAAGTCCGTCATGAATTATGGCCGAATCCGATAAGCTTGTTTTGTTTTGGTCTGGTTGATACGTTGGATCATCATGTGGCGACTCATCCTCCCCCGATGGGACGGATATGAATTTTGACCTTGAGAACTCATCACGACAGCCATTGATACTAGAGCTTGCTGGTTCCAAATTATTTGTGGGAATATTTATTTCATTCACCGCTAGTGACTCTTGAGTACATACTTCAGGCTGTTCAGCGGGACAAGTGGGAATGTCTAGAGCATGTAGACGGACGTTTTGGTGTTTCTTTAGATTGGTCTTACGTCGCTTTGCAGATCGTCTAGGCTTGGTTAATACTTGTGAATTCAAGTTTGATTGAGAACCAGGGGAGAAAGGATCAAGTATATTGTGAGGATTGAAAATTGATTGATTGACTGTAGGGTTCTCTGCTTCAAGTCGGGGATCGATCGGTTGATCTAGGTGAGTTGGACGCTCCAGGGAATCGAAGCCCTTGATCTGAAGGTGATCAGTTGGATAATTGGCTTCATGGTTCGGGGTTAGGAAGTCCGAACAGAATCGGATGGAATGAATGTCAGTTTCGGGGGATGTACTCGAAGAGAGTTGCTGGTTCAAGATCGCAGCCGTTTCTTGAAGCAGTTCTTCGTTTGTTAGAATGGCCCGCTCGATCCCATCATCCATCGGACTACAGATTGTTACATGGGAATTTTGGGAAGCAGTTGTTTGATTCCTAGCTGAGGGATTGATGATTTGACAAGGTACGACAGCAGGTAGATGTAATATCGTTTTTGATAGAATGGAAGAAGTCTGCAATCGGACAACAAGGTTTTTGATCAGGACAGTGCGGTAGATTGGACAATAGGGAGAACAAAACAATAATCAAAAAAGGCAGACATACGAGTTTGGGTGAGTATGATTGGTTCTACGAGCAGGCCGCTTCCTGTGATATTATTTGTTTCTTTAGGTAAACAGATTCGTTCTCCGGATTGTTGACGATCGACCGATCGAGTGAGTTCATGGCAGTCCTCGACCTTCGGCGTTCTTGATGTAGTGGTTTCCTCCGACAAGAAGGCCGTCCAATGGGGAAAGTTGAGGAGTGACTTGAGTGGAGCCAAATTGTAGTCGCCTGTTCTGTGGAGTGTCAAGCAGATTTCACAGATCAGGGACTATCACAGTCTACTAGTACCAGGAGTCTCACATTGATTGATCCCTGTCCTGAATCCCTCTCTTTTATCAATTTATAAGAGTTATCTGAATAAATGTATGTTCTCAAAACTTGACTGATCAGTTGAGAGATCATGTCTGGGCACATCACACCCTTCCGCTTGACTTCTTATGCTAAGGGAGTGTCTCTCATCTGTATGATGTTAAAAATGTAGGACAGTGACCACTGCGATCAAATTGAATCAACCAAAAAACAAAAACAAAGAAAACCTGTTGATGCAAATTCAATTAACTGTTGATCATGATTTCCATCAATAATAACTTGAATTTCTATTCAGATATTGGGTTTCAAGTTGAATAGGACTGTTAGCAACTGGTATGTTACAATTTTATACTGACATTGCAAGGCTAACGGCTAACCTGGAACTTCTAAACCTGGTGCTGTTTGGATCAGAAACATTTTTGTTAGAAAAATAATTTTCAAGAAATTTTCCAGTTCCTCATCATATGATTATTACTCTCTCCATGATTTAAACTCTACTAGTAACTCCAGATATCCTTCTCCTTTCTTTAACCTGGACCATTGCCATGTCATTTCAATTGGACTTATTAATTACCTTTGATTCTACTATCCCCCTTTTTGTCTCAATGAAAGGGAACCAATATATTTACGTGTAATGAATTATTCACCTTTTATTCCACTACCTTTTTTTGTTTCTCATTGAAGAGACATAGGACATATTTTGATTTATTTGGATATTGATCCAAGATCATGAATGGTCTGTAAATAGTAGAGAGACAATACACAGGTTTTGGTCAAAGTTTCTGGTTTGTATAGAAGAAAATGTCTATTGTTTGTATTTTTCTTCAAGGCATGAGTATCTTTTTAAAAAAAGGATAGGAATGCATTGAGAAGAGTGTGCACATTTTAATTGATGTTTGGCTCATCAGGACTCTGTGGTGTAGTTTTGCAAACCTGGGTATATTCATCAGGATAGAGCTTTTCTGGGGGCTGAAACTGTAATTCAAATTCAGACCAGTGTGACATTAGTGTTATTTTCTAGGACCATGAACTAGAAGTTGAGAAATCATAAGAGAAAAGTTTAAACAAACGTTTGGTTTACAACAACTCGCAAGGGAAGGACAGGGTAGAGCTCCTTTGAGTTTAGGTTTCTGGTAGAGTGTCACTACAAAACCAGGGACAAAGTTTATTCCATCAAATACCTACTGCTATGCCATTTTTCGGTTTGAGTAAAGATGACTTACGCATGTAGTAGGAAGCAGAGGGCTTCGAGGCACGATGGTAATCGGAACACCACGGCTTGGTCATGCCGTTAACATTTTTATGGCATTTCAAAGGGTCCGCTGATTGGGCACCTGTGCCCTGGATCAAGATCATCATGGAACATGTGAGCAATGCGAAGAACTTCATCGTAATCTATTAAAATTCTAAAAGAAATTTTAATCTTGAATTGGCGGAGATGGTAATCAAGTGGCAGTTTAGATATTGGCCTGAGGGATGGGTAATCGTTTGGCAGCTCTGATCCGTTCTATTTATGAGGTTTGTTTTCAAGCAGTCTTTGCACCCGAGTCTGCATCATAACAAAGAAAACCATGGCAATCAAGCCTCTACATACCGCCTTTGAAATACGTTCGCCACATACATAACTTGCTGGACTTGGCCTTGTCTTGTTTCTTCCTTCTCATAAGACTGCTTGGTGTCCGCCCGGTCGCAAAGTTCCCTCCCTCCCATCGATACCGCTGCATCGCCTTGCAAATAATGTCGCTAACCGGCCCCCAGGTTGTTGGTAGTGTCATTTTCCTTGCTCTTCCATGCATTAAGATTAATCTAACTTAACTAAGTCCCTCTTTATTCGGAGGGGGGACGCCGTCCCGCAGGGACCCTCCGGCAAGCCATCGGATGAAACTGCCGGAGGTACTTAGCTAAGTTAGAAGATTAATGTATTCTGGCGGCCCAGTATCGAGCCTTTACAAGCCCCTTGTTGAGAGCTGCCAAGAGAGGCGATTTGTCTTCCAGAGAGGCTTACTGGTCGTGATGTACCATGCAGGTTGCAACATCGTTCCCCGGCCGGTCCGGGATCGATTGGACAAACCTCATCGGCGCATCGGCAGCCACTTCTTAGGAGGCGAAGTGCGGCACGGGGAGCTTAAGTCCGGCTCAGAAAGCGAAATCCGAGCTATGACTGTCGATTGTGGAACCCACTGGAGTCACGCAGCGTCATTACTCGCTGAGACATCAAAAGTATCCCCGACTTTTTTTGATGCTGAGTTGGGTTGACCTCTTGAAGACCTCTTGGTATGTACCTGAGACAGCCTATGCTCTAACTGCGGTACGGCTACCTATTGGTGTCGGTCGCGATTTGAAGGCGTGCTCCACCGCATTCAAGATATAAACTTGTGACGGCTGCCCGGTGAAGCGGTCTCGGATAGCTTTGGACAAACACTTCATGTGGATACTTATTTGGTTTTATGTTTTACCGCTTCAAGTTCAACCCAAACTGTGGCTCCATCCACGTTGCTTCACTCTAAACCATTGCTTCAGACCTCTTCAGACTCAACCCGGCACGATGATGATTTCATTAAAGAGTTCATTGTGTTATCTGACGCTGTACATAGGAGCAGGGCATCTTGCTCTAATATCACATCAGGGAGGGTCTAGTTATATAGCAGGAGACTCTAAGTGTAGGGATCTAATTTTATCATTCTGCCTGTTGGAATTTTCGCTGCTTGACTCGCTTTTGCCCATCCATACGTTGTAATGTTAGCCGCGGAATTGACACCCGGAATAATTGGATATCAAGATTCTATAAGCAAGGCCAGCGCAAAAATTCCAATAGAACTTCGCGCAGAGGAGAAGTTACAGCAAGACGAGCTGGAGAGGTTTCACCAGGAGAGGGAGGCCAATAAACGTGATGAATATGTTTTTCGTCTCCGTTGGTTGGATCTCGCCGCTTAGTTTTGCAAATCCTTTACAGGTCTGTTAGCTTTGTTGGACAATGAAAACAAGGAAATAAGTGATAAAATCTCGTCCATCCGTTATCGAGGTGATCTCATATTGATCTGTAATCATCTGGAGGAGCTCCATCAACTCCTCAAACTGAAACTTTATAAGAAAGTACGTCAGTTGTATGGAAAAGCTTCCTTACAGACTGCCACGACTTCCTTCTACAGACGGCCTACACTACTGCAGCAAGTCCCAAAGATCCAAAATTTACTCAGCTGGGGGATCAGGCGTCTTAATTCTCTCAAAATGAAAGCGGTTCGGCTTTCTAGCCGCAAGAGATTGTCGACTCCCGTCAGCTTGGAATCTAGGGAAAAAGGAAAATTAGAAAGAAGCAGAGATATTCCAACAAATCTTATAACTCACAGAAGAAAGATTAAAGGTCCACACTTGCAGATGGGGACTGGTGAAAGAGCTGAATTAAATCAAAATAAATGGGATGATGTAATTGACATCTGCATTATTCGCAAATTCCATCAGCTACAGACAATGCTCAATGGATTTATATCAAACCACAATGAGCAGAGCTACGTCTTTCACTGGGATATGAAGTTGCAAGCCATAGAAACCATCTTCCTCATGGGTAATTTAATTTATCGCTGGAATCTGTTGCCTTCAGATTTCTTCCAACAAGTTCAAACTTTTAAGCAACATAATGTGACTGATATGGTTGAATTTCATATAAGAATTTTTTCACTAATGTCCTCCCAAGCTACATGGTGGGAGAGAGTGGTTATCCCACAGCTAGGATTTCTGACAACAAACAAGAAATTAATTCACTTTCACAGGTCCATTGAAGGTATGCCAAAACCTTCATTACATGGCATAGAAAAACACTCAATATAAGGAGCAGTCATGATTCATGACTGCTCCTTATATTGAGTGTTTTTCTATGCCATGTAACTCCCTTTCATTCTTCCATCATGATTGAATAGCACATACATAAACAATTTTATTTTATGAAACTCTCTGACTAGATATTTTTTACAAAATAGCCCTCTCAAACCAAGATAGGAAAATTTTTCTGCACCAGATTATGAAAGTCAGCTTTGAAAGGTACAAGAATGCTATAAGGGATCAAGAAATTGCAAGTGTTTTTCAATATTTTTCAACTGTCAATCTTGAAGATATGGAAAGACTTTCTTGCAACATAAACAATAAACAGAAACTGGAAGACTTCTCTGGTATTATTATCATGATATTCCAAATAATCAATTTTTTCCAGAACCATGAAAGCAAAGAACATATGGGCCTTCTATTTGCATATTCATTTTTGGACTATATTGACACATACTACCAGCCAATTATGATTGTGTTGAAGAAGGAGATGGATGAAGTTGAAGTTTTTGAACAACAACTTCACATCATGGGCCTATTTATTAAAGGACTTGACAATGACATCAAAAAATTCAATTTTGACCATCAAAAAGAGGAGATCCAGGAGCTCCTCAAAATTCTTAAGGAGAGGGAAAGCCAAAGGTCTTCACTGGGGAAATGGATTTTGGTCTCAACACACAAGATAATTGGTTATGATCCTCTAAGGTTTTTGGAATGAAGCCAATGATGCTATAGTGATTTGATCTTATGTTAGTTGATGTGCTAAAATGTTTGTTGGATGAAGTCACAAATCTCATTCATAAGATGAAATCAAAGTGAAAGTTGATTTTTAACTCAAAATTTCCCTAGAAATTAAGTTGACCAATTGGTTATCAAAACACTAGTCTATGCCCCCAAATTTGGGGAGGCTGCTTGTCTTTGCCCTGGATGTTGGGGGTTTGACTTGATTGAAGGTCCTATGGTGTAATAGCCTTCGCTTCTGAAGGTCATTGTAATAGCCTTCAGCTTGCCATGATTGTAAAGTCCTAGCAAATGTTGGAAATGACATTGAAATGTGCAACATTGACACCGGCGTTAGAAGCCGCATGAGAAATCAATACAAATACCTATTGAAGGCTGATGGTTTGTTTGGCCCTCTGAGGCTGTTTTTTTAGTTATATGTAGATTTATGAATTTATGAAACTTAGATTTCAAAGTTTTAGTTATTTTAGCTACATTTTTCATCATTATAAAGTGTATTCTTTGGAAAAAGCCTTGTTTCTTTCACAGAATATTGTTTTTGATTTGCAAAGAATATGATGACTAATGTCAGAATTTTTTTATTTTGTTTTCCTCACTCATCTGAATTTACATTGTGAATCATTGCCTCACTTCCTAGATATTTCGTGACCACTATCAATGTTTAATTTTTTCATATTTACTCTGTTGGAAATTTACTATCCTCTCTTTCCTTTTTTTCCCTTCCTCTTGCTTTCCATATGAATATGCATTTCATTCACCTGCTTTCCCACAGCTCAGCCCACAGTTGTAATAGTGTATAATATTCTATCTAGATAAAAAAATAAAACCATCAACTATTCTGTGTCCAATCAATCTCTAGGGCATAAAGCCTCTGGTGGTTTGTGTGATTTTCTGCCACATAAGCTAGAAGAATCATAGCCCTATTTGTTTTTCTTTCTCTCTCTTGAGACATTTCCTTTTTGACAGTCACTCTTCCTCTTGCCTCATTCATTCTGAGTCTCAGTTTCAACATGATCAACAAAAACATATATATTGAAAGCTTTCCTACATCTCAGCACCAGAAAAAGAAAATACCACCTCTATAGAGGTGGTATTTGTATATCCAAACTGCATCCCAGTTGTATGTGTGTTATATCCCCTGAAAGTATATATCATATCCACTATGTATCTCAGTTGGGTACTCTGGAATTCTGAAATCCCTCAGACATTTTTTTTTGAAGATTTCTGATGATAAGGAATGATGTGTTCAATTTGCAAGAAAATTGTGGGAAACCCCTGAGGATATTGAGTGATTACTATAGCCTTTTTTCTGACATTGGACCAACCACATTGCTCCTCTTCTGATTACCATAACTCAAAGAATTGAAACTATTGTGTTTCCTATAATTGTTGGACTCCATCCAATTCTTCTGGTTTTGATTATGCATTTGAAAATCCTCAGATCTGTGTTTTTCTTATTTTTTCCTTGGGTTTTTGCCCCTACTATCCCACCTTTTGATTTGCACTTTTCCACGGTCACAGCCTGCCACCCACCACCTTGCAACCACCCGCTTTTCTCAAGTGCAATGGTGATGAGGTTGGCGACCTCGGCAAGCGTTATTGAGGGGCGGACCAGGGCAAACTTTTGTCTCCGGTGCCAAAGGTGAGGTTGATTTCCTCTTCCCCTCACTTTGGAACCGAGAAAGGGGGAATCGCATAGAAAGGCCAGTTGAGCTGGCCTTGGGTCAGATGCTGCGGATGTCAAGGAAAAAACTCGTGGATATTGAAGGATTAACAAGGAAATATGGGATTCTCTAAACCAGAAAAAACGGAACAGTGTCCAAGCTTCATGGGAAAGACAATACCAGTTCAGAATCATGGCTCAATGAAAACACTTAGATCTTGGGCAATTGTTTAAGATTGAAAATAAAAAACATCTGTATGCTCATCTATATCAAAAAAAACCACAAGCTATCCTGCCAGAAGATGAGCAATCAGAGAGCTTTCTTCAATCAAATTTATACACAAAAAATGTTCATTGCATAATTAGAAAGAGAAAAAGAGAAGGACAGAAGAACTGAGAAGAGAAGAGAAAGAGAAGAGAAAGCAGACCTGAGAAACATTAAGGAGCAGCGTATGAGCAAGAAGGCTAGAAGAGGACCAACAAAGGGAGGAAAATGAGACAAAGGAGGACCCCGGCAAGCCCTAGGATAGGGGGGGTGTTGAAAAAGTTCAAATTTTGGCAAAAATCATACCCGTGCCCCGCGGGGAGTCACTTTTCTTTTTGGAAAATTCATACCTTTTCAAGAGTATGCTCAGGCTAAAATCCCCTAATAATTAAAAGGGAGGCCCCTGGTAAAATGTCCAATCTGGGGCCAAATACATACCAAGATTTTATTGGGTTAGACTAGGTTCACATACCTAACATGGCCTCTTTCATGAGTTTCAACATTAAATATCACAAATCCATACCCATTTCAAGAGTATGATTTTGGCTTTCTTGCCATTTTTGCATACCTTTTTCAACACCCCAAAGTGATGTAAATACATGATTTTGCTAAACTGCATTGGATCGAGCTGGTCAAGTGGGGTGATTCTGAGTCGCAAAATGTCGGGGTAATTGGAGGTAGAGGAAGCCTGTAAGTTGCATTGACTGGAGAGCAACCCAGATGACAGGGATCTTCATGGCACGTTGTGCGTGTGTTGCTAAGTAGGATCAATGGGAGAAGGAGAAGAAGCAGAAAGATCTCAATCTATCAGTTTGTAGATCTGATCGTGGCGTGAACCTGCTGAACTGATTCTATCCGCTTGCTACATACACCTCAAGAATAGCAGTTTCTACTAAGCTCATCATCATCCCACACCCTTCTAATTGACCTGATCAGCTGGTTTACAAGGAAGCAATCTCTTATTGCTCAGCTCGTGGCTCATGTGGAGGCAATCTTTGCTAAATCAAAGGCATATTCATTAAGGATTACACACACATACTTATGAGTGATTGGTACATAGATAACATCAATTCAAACAATCTTTTAACCAACTGATTCAAGTAAATCATATATCTCCACTGCTCAACTAAGTCTACTTCAAGTGCGTTGAATAGAAGTGCTCAAAAAGGCTCGACCCTTCCGAGATCGGCGAGTCCTTTGAGGATTGCCTGGATCTCACGAACTCGAGCACAAGCTTCGTTTCTGAGCTCTTGGACGGTTGGCCCTGAGTTGGCAGAAGAAGAAGAAGTCGTTGTCGTTGTTGTTGTTGTTGTTGCTGCTGCTGCTGTTGGGTTGGTTGTGTTTGTTGTTGTTGTTGTTGTTCCAGTGGTTCCAGTGGTTGTTGTTCCAGTGGTTCCAGCGGCTGTTCCGGTGGGATTGGTGGGGTTACTTACCCGGACGGCGGATGGGATGATGGCTGTGACGGTGATCAGATGCAGGTCGGCTCCAGCCATCGGCTTCTCATCATCCTCGCTCTGAAAACCAATTGACCGAAAAAAGGGACTATCAGCGTGCTGATTCGGACACATTATATTCTCTCAAGATCAAAGGTGATTGCTGACGTGATAGACCCGAAAGATCTCGATGATCACTCCCCCTCGTACGAATTGAACACCCCGCCTGAAATACTCAAACGTTCGTCTAAGATTCGGAATCATAGAAGTTCAGAGACCCTTTCTTGTGACAGTGATTATGACTTTGAGTCTGGACTTGATGTACCGATATCCTAAGGCGCTCACGAATTCGATCGGGTTCCCGGCGATGATCGGGCAGAAGTGAATCGGACGGATGGAGAACTCGGGAGATAACCTTTCAGGCTCGATTCTGCCGAGAGAGATGAGAGACCTGTTAATCATATGCATATAAGTTCTTCATCATCTCTCAATAAGTATATATATATATTTTTTTGATTGGCTACTGACCAGCCATTCCTGATTGGGTTTTTGTAGTTGATTGGAGAGTCATTCTCGATTATTCCAGGTGTTCGGATGGTATGCTTCAGTGTGAGTAGATTTGAGTCTTCGCTTATGGTTTCGAGTGGGCCTTACATGAGCATAGTATATTAATTTCAAGTTAGTGATTGTATGCTAGGCTTTTTTTTTATTTTGACTGACCTCGATCGAATCCGATTTCACGTGAGTTGAAGTGGGAGAATGAGTGAGTGTGATTTGCTAGTCGGTTGAGTAGACTCTGGTACAGTTCCACTTGCACTAGTCCTGAGATCGAGACTTGAGTGCTCATCTTGATCTTCTCGTGTTGTTTGCAGGGGTGCGGCCGGTAATGCTCTTGAAGGTGAAAAAAAGAGAGCATTGCTGACATCAGCAATTACATACGTACATAGTCTTCCTTATCAAAGCACCAACTGAGACACAGCAATATCAAGCCCAATCATTACACCAACCGTCAATTATTATTACGAACATGGAACAATTAGACTTACTCAGCTCACTCGAGACTGGTTATCGATCGAGACTCCGAAGAACTCAACTCAGAAACCATCACCAATCCTTGCGACTACCAACAGCAGAACAGCAACTACCAGCACCACCAATTACGCCGATCTCAGCCAGTCTGACCAGAAGATTACTAGCAGTGGCTTCGTCAGCAGCTAATAACCTAGCTGACACCAATCTCACAGCAGGTAGCTCTGCCGATGGTCGAAGTACTCACAACTGGCGACACACCTTCTTCGAAAGGATGAATCAGGACGTCCAATCTGGCGTAGGAAGATTGCAGGCAGTCAACCGATTACGTCAACGAATGGCCGAGCTGCGACCAACAGCAACAACCACAGCAAGCAATACCAACAACCCAACCGCTGATCATCAGCCTGACTCATATTCGACCGAGATCAGTCCTCATCACCCCAAGATCAGCAACCAGCGAACATACCTGCTCTACTGCGGAAATAAATACCAACTGAATGGCTGTGGGAAACTGATCAGCGTCAGGGCGGCCTTGATCTTGCCGAAATCATTCCGAAGCTGGATGGATGACCAACAGGAGGAGGAGCAGGAGCAGGGGCAGGAGGAAGAGGGGGAGGAGCACAGGAATGGGAACCCCGCAGACTTCAACCTGGTCACCAGCGACACACTCCCATTCCCTAACTCGGCTGATAGAGTCGACCGATTCACTCAACAGAGCTTCGAAAACGATCCTGCTAACCCTTTCCATAGATCCCACTCTATCCATCCTGCCTGTGTCTGTCAAAAAGATTATCTGGGTTGTCTTTCCTGGTCAGTCAGTAAAAAGAAATTCATCTCTCAGAGTTTTTTGTTTTATTTTTTTATTTTAGAAAGTCTAATTATCGATTTTGATGATGAATTTGTTTGCTTTTTAGTGGGAACATCGTTGGACATTCGGTCAGTTTACCATGTGACCAATGTCGAGACCTAGCCGTCTTCCATCCCCAATTCTACTACCTGAGTCGACTGACGGCAGTCCCACGATACACCGACGTACCGATCGGATTAGAGCTGGCGGAAGGGGAGCGATTGACGAGAGGCCTATCGGAAGGGATCATGAGCTGGACGGAGGCGGTCGGCGGAAGAAGAAGGATCTCGAGGCCGGTCTGGCCCAGGCTCCGCTCCGCGAGACTTGGCTCCATCCATCGGGCCTTCTCAAGCTGCTGGGCTGAGTACCAGAATCAGGGACGCCATCCTGCTCGGATCCTTGGTGGATGAAGACCATCCCAGCAACCTTCTTGCCATCCCCCCATCCTCATCTACCCCCAGTCCACATCAACCTCCCTCCCCAGCTCCCACCCACCCGCTTTCTTCCCGTCTGGACAGGCTAAGACGCACCCCTCTCGCGCGTCGGCCCGCCGTCAGACTCTCAACCAATCTCACCAATCCTCCAAGCGAACTTAATAACACGCTCCCAACCAATCTCAGGTCACGCGCTTCATCCTCCTCCGAATCATGGGTTGTTCGAGAAACACCCAGATCAGAAAGATTCCCTGAAGAATTCCTCAGACTTCCTCATGAAGATCTTAGCACAACCCCATCTATTGACAATCTCAGGAACGATATCGAGGTCAAAGAAGAGGAAGATGAAGATGAAGATGGTCAACCTTCATCAATCGATAGTCGTCTTCGAACAACCAATCATGATCACCAACTTGGATCGAATCCTAGGGCCGTCAGACGCCCGCATTCTGAGCTCGATAATCATCCAAATCTTCCTTCTGATCCAGCTTCAGTTCCTCCTGCTTTTGGTAGAGTCATTCGTAGAAGGATAAATCCAAGCTCTGAGCTTCCTTCCTCTTCTTCTTCCTCTTCATCTGGTATTGATTTTTTTTGGGTTGGTGATGTTTGTGCTAGATAAAATGATCTTTCTCTTTTCTTTTGCTTATGATTAGTTTTTACGGCCAACATAATCAGCTAGGCTGAGGGTATCCTAGTTAAACTAGGATTCACTCAACCAAGTTAAACTTGGTTGCATTTCAACCAATTAAATATGAATCACCTTGAATTTATATTTCATTGAATGCATCCCAGTTAAACTGGGATACCCTCAATCAAGCCAATGGTGTTGGCAGTGTTTTATTTCAAATTAATACTTTCTTTCTGTTGTTTGTTTTTGTCTTGTTTTTCTGATTGTTCATTAATTAAATGTCCACCCCCCACCAAAAAAACACCAACTCTTCTTTTTCTTGAAAATATGTATCTGATCCCCCCACCTTCTTTTGATGACCCATATTTATATATACGTGTGTGAAGATAGGTTGAAACATGATCTTCCATTTTCTTGCTTCTTCCTGCTTACATATAACCTTCCCTTACCACTTCATTTATTTCTTGTTCTTTTTGTAGTTTTCTTGGTGTAGATTCAGCATAAGCATGAATAATAATCAATGTACATATTTATATACAAGATGTGAATCTACTATCAAAGAATCATGTGAATCTACTATGAAAGAATCATGTGAATCTACTATGAAAGAATCTCAAGAAGCTGACACTTATGATTACAGACATGTGGAATGAAACTCAACCCATAAGTATTATGACTACTCTCAACTAATTTGGCATGACCAAGATAATTGGCTGGGTTGAAGGTGTCCCAGTTCAACTGAGATGCACTCAATCATATTAAACTTGGTTGGATTCCAACCAATGAAACATAAATCCAAGGTAGATGTATGCCCTGGATTTATATCTCATTGGTTGAGATGCAACTAGAGATCGTTTGTCCGTACTTTTTGCAAGTACCTGGTACCTCCTGGGGGGTACCCCTCACACCCGCCCCACA